TCAAATCTTAAATTGTCTTATTCACTCTGATACCCTACACTGTCATTGCATGTTTCATTTAGTGACTCTAGTTCTCACCTCAGAAATAAAAAGTTTGAACCCGATTTTGAATAAAAACTGTGACTAATCACCAGGTAGGTTTGTTTTCAGGTGAAGTTGAGTGCATTGCATTGTGGGATATAGTATTCCTCACAGTGGTTACGTTCAGAATGCAATACTACAGCTTACACTTACTGAACACTGCACAGTATGTACTGTAAAATGCATACTATTTTTAGTAACTAAAAGGCTTTAATGAGAAACATCTCAAAAGATGTTAAATGACCTCCTCACATCCAGTTATCAGTGTGTATACTGGACCTTCTGGCATTTTTGTTTTTAAATGTAGTTTTTATATTACATTTTATGTTATGTTAACATTTTTAGGTTACCATATATAATTTCAAAAGCCCTATTTGGTAACAAGTTATTTTAAGGTAACGGAATTACACAATATGCATAATCACAAGAAACTAACCTAAATCAAATCCTAATCTTAACACTACAAATCAATCAATCAATAAATAGGTAGGTTTACCTATTAGGATTTCAAGTAAATTTCACAAAAGAAACGGCAAGTAACACTGAATTAAACATGAAATTTTAGTAGAAGTAGAAAAACTGAAATAGTATTTTCTTGTAAAATGTACTCCATTAATTTTTGTTTTATTTTATTTCAAAAAATACATTTTAGTGTATAGTCAGTGCATATAGTTCATTATTATTATTCAGTACTTATTTGTGTAGTTACATTGTAATAACATCACCTTAAAATAAACTGTAACCCAGTATTTAGTGCATGACGAAGTGAAGCCTGCACTGAGGTCAAGTTAATCAGTCAAGTGAAATCAAACCAAATGACGTCCCTCCCCAACATCCGCTGGCGTAGATTCCCAAAGCTTTCAGACACAATTCCCGCAGTGCTCTAAAGAAGAGCGCAACATCAGGATGCACTGAAAGCATCCTCTCTTAAAGCAGTGTTCCACAAAGCCTGGTCAGAGGACGCTTGAGCCCTCAAAGAAAGGCAGCGGTAATCCTCCTCCTCTTCCGCTGAACGTGACACCACACAGCGATGACTAACCGGCGGTGGCTCTAGTGCTGGCAGTGCGTCTCACTCCACAGGCCTGCAGAGCCCATAAATCATGCAAACCCCTGTGTTTCTGACACGCGTGACTGTCGTGCGATCAGGTGAGATGAACGCCCGCGGGTGTGTGTTGTGCCAGTAGGTGAGCGCTGGTATTAATCACCCGTCTACTTCACACTCCACACTCTCCCATACAGCCCTGCACCAAAGTCAAGATTGATTTTTAACTGGCCGAGCTATTCAGATGTAGATCATGTTTTAATATGGATTATGATGGGGAATGAATGGATGGTTGAACGTCACGCATAGAAATCGTGATCGCAATTACTGATGTGGCCTTCACGCCTAATAAACATCAGCCGTTTCTCCGTCACCTGTTCACAGCCAATACTATTCAGTGACTATTCAGTAATTTTGAATAATTGAGTCACTGATTTAATCAATTTGATTTATCTGAACCACCAAAATAAATGCTTATACAATTATTTATTAGTGTAGACCATCTTAATGTACTCCTAAAATTAAAGTGATAGTTAAATACCTATTGGAGTTGTTTTGGTCAAAAAATATCTATGGAAACATCCAACACACGTTTGCTATTTCTTCGCTTACGCACTTTCGAAACTTTTCTTTGCTTACAAACTATGGTAAATCGCTAAGAAGCGACTCCTTCAGAAAGATTGTTTAAGGAATTTGCACCCACAAATACATAACCGCAGGTCTTTCTATACATCCAAATTATGGTTTGGACCAACGTAAAAAAAATAATAATAATAAATAAATTAAAAAAAAAAAAAACATGGTTTGGTTTAAACATTAAAATTGTATTCAATGTCAATCAAAATAATTTGTTTTTCATTCATCATTTTCTTACATAAGCCATATTTATTTATTTTGGCTTTTTACATTTTAACTTCACCATAAACAAAAGCTAAATTAGCTACACTATGAAAGTAGATTTTTCACATAAGATAAAATTAAAAACATTTTGTTCAATGTTTATTAAACATTTTGGTAGTCAATTTAGTTTACTTACTAAATAAAGAAACCTTCGAAAGACCATTTTTGTACCAATAAAAAAGAATAAAAACACTAGAAAAATAAATAAATAAATAAAAGAATTCCGCACATGATGCTAAAAGACTATTTAAACTAAATTGATTGAATGGTTTTCTATGAGAAGTGTGATTTGCTTTTAGGCAAACTGAATAAAACAGGTTTCATAACTCCACATCTGTAAAGAAAAACACCATAAACTATAACAGTAGTAGTCAATTCAACAACTCTGAAGTCATGTGAAAGCTTTGTGCAGGGAATACACTGATATTTCAGTCATTATTCATTGATTATCTTCCCCTCCAAATATGAGAGTCTTTGTATGAAGCTTAATTGCATGCATTCAACTGAATTTCTGCCTTCATGTTCCTCATAAAAATGTATTTGAAGTGATGAGACTGAGCAAATAATGACAGAATTTACTTTTGAGGAAACTATTCCAATTAAACAGTATATTCACAGCATCATGAGCTCACTGTATACAGCTAAACGCGTCTCTGTGTGGACGGGGCCTAAGAATCACAAACTAAAGCTTATCAATTGTAATAGCAATAAGCAGCCTTGTGATATTGCTGTATATCAGCATGGTTGAGATTCAGCTGTAGGCAGTCAAAAGTACAAAGACAGTTTTTCTGATATACAGCATTAAAGTTAAATAAATTTGCCCTCAGCCTAAACTATTTGCTCTGGAACAAATAATAGATTAATGAGACCAAAGACTGCCCGTTAAATTTACCCAAAACCAATATCATGTTTAACCACATCAGAGCCAGTGGCAAATTCCAGAAGATCTGGCCGAGGTGAGGCGCTCTCGGCGGGTTTATGAGCGCAGAATGGCTGCTGACTTCTGGAGCTCACATCTCTGAAAACGTCAACGCAAATTTTGAAATAGACATTAACAAACCGCACATTTGAAGTCTAAGCAATTATATTATCACCTAAAAAACTCTTAAAACTACATTCTGTGACAACGGTTCCTGTAGTGATACTGGGTGAATATCTCATGGGTGGAAAGACCTCTCAGCCAATCAGATTTGAGGACCAGAATGAACTGTTGTGTATAATATAATATGATATGATATGATATGATATGATATGATATGATATATCTAGTTAAATCATATATTCATTAAAGATATTGCATATTCAACACAGAGAATGATATACAATAAAGTAAACTCAATCACATTTGCATCCTGGTTTTCCAAACAATTCCGAAATTGTATGCTGGATGGATTGAATTTTCATTGAGAAATGGCTCAATATAGAATAAAATGCTTCTAATTTTCAGTATGTATGTCAATGTCTGTATGTACATACCAGAAAGCAATGTACATTTCCACTATTTTGATATTAGCACATGCCATACATTGTCCTTTCACTCACAGCGAGAGTAGAGTGTGTGAGTCTTACAATATAGATCATTAAGACAAAACAAAGTGCACTCTGTCTCAGTTCCAGACTCCAGTACAGTGCTGGATTGAGTTACATCATGCAACGTAAAAGATCGTTTGCTTCACATCACTTAGCAGACAACCGAAGGAAAGGTTTCTGTTTCGCAGTTTCTTATAAATATCATGATCAACCAGTTATGCTGATGTTACTTCAAGATAAAGAATTACAAGTATGCAAAGCAAATGTGTCACTCAAAATATATGAGCTGGGATAAGGAATGCTCAGTGACACAAATCTATCTGATATGTAATGAGGAAAAATTGTCTATACAAATATGACCACTACATAAGAAAACCACTTTCTTATGAAGACATGTCCATGCGTTCTTCCTTGAAAACAGCTCAGTTTCACTTGTCTCAAGAAAACTGAAGTTTCCCAGCAGCGCACAGATAACAATGCATGTTTCGAATAGTCCAGCCTTTGTACTGCAAGTCCAACCCAGAACCATATGGACTGTAGTGCAGTGCCATTTCACACAACTAACCAAGCCCACAGAAGCTTCTGGAGAACAAGCCCAACAGCTCGTTACCTGCGAGACATGTTTACCTCTCACAACATCCACATTAGCATGGATGACTCTTTGAGCAGCATGCTAACACAAAGTATATGGCTGCTTGCTGTACAACACTAATGCAGTAGCAGTACTTGTAATGTAGTAGTTCTTGATACAGAGCAAATGACTGTGCACTGGGAAAAAAATTGTATAGTAGGATCACAGAAAACCAAACTATAATCTTCTGAACTTCAATCATTCAATATTCTCATTTAATCATCCCACCATACTTTCACTGAAAAAAAAAAGATTTGTATTTTTGTCGTTTTGCATTTAAAATGACTTAAGATATCAAGTCTTGTTATTTATCAATAACACTTACTATAAAAAAAATAATAAAAAATAAGAGTTTATGCTTTAAACAAGAAAAACATACATATATATGCCAATAGGTCGGGAAAATAAACTTTATTCAAAGGGGGGGGATGTCTACTGGCAATTTTTTTAAGCATAAACCCACTTAATTTTGATAAATTCTTCAGAAAACAAGAATTCCGAACTTAAGCAATTAATTTTCCTTCTCAAGTAAATGCATATTGATTTAAGAATGTTCATTTGTATACTGAGCAATCATTCTAATTACGTTGTAAAAACGTTTTTTTCCCTACATTTTCAGATATGAAAGTAACTGTTTAATATGACTACATAAACCTTATTACAATAGGTCACTGTCACTATAAGCTCATTTCTAAGAGTCTGGTAACACCTGCACTACACCAACTAATAAACACACGCGCTGTACACGCTCAACTCTTCAATCAGAGCAATGTCTGCAACGCAATCCAGCCAGAAATAAAATCACGAGTGACCCACCAGTCTGGAAATGTGCTCTTCGCTCAAACTTTCCAATCGCTTGCTGATGGTATTTTCCAGCGTCCTTCCTTTTGCGCACTTGTTCTCCTGTTCACTCGCGCTGGAAAGTTCCTCTCGCCTCCCGTATGCTAATCATTCTTCACGAGTTGAAGGAAGACAGAGGAAGAGGAGAGACGCGGAGACAGCCGAAGAAGGGAGAGAGCAGATAACGGTGGAAGGCAGGCAACCAATTGGCCTGGAGCTCTGAGAGAGAGAGAGAGAGAGAGAGAGAGAGAGAGAGAGAGACCAAGGAATGGGGGAAGCACCAATGAGGCGGAGCAAAAGGATGCGAGGACGCGGCCGCCATAGAGAAAGACAAGAAAGAAAGAAAAAAACAGCTGTACGTGAGTCAGAGCCGAAATGCGAAGCGCTTACCATCAACGTGATGCCTGCATCCTCAGCTCAGCACCCAGACCTCCAACCATCCCGGTGCCACAGGCGCGAATGATTAGAATGCGTTTGCCTTCTCTGTATCATGGACTAAATTTGCTCTATCTCCCTTCCCTGCGCTGTGTGTGTCGTGTTCGGGTGTGTAGCTCGCAGCATCACTGCTTCCTATAGGCCTTGCGCTCTGAGTGTGTGTGTGTGTGTGATAATTTGGGATAGTATCAGGGAATCTCATGCATACGTCCATCATTTGCCTGCAGAAGAGAGCGGGACTCGCTGGACTCATTAATGTCGTCAGGGCTGTGAGCGCTGGCAGAGCACCAGCAGCGTGGAGCGCTAAGATAACTGGCTTAAGAAGCAGCCAACCTCCCCTTCTCCTGCAGATAGATCTGTCTCCTCCCAGACAAAAGCGATGCTATCCGTATATCCGCACCACGCACATCCACACAGTCCATGTGTTGGGCTGGTAAGTCATATCCCAGCTAGCAAAAAAATAAATAAATCAAATGTTTTGATAACGTTCCCGTTAAGTTATGGAAACATTCGTTCTAATTTTCTCTGAACGTTCAAAATGTACAGATTTCTAAATGTTTTAATAATGTGATATAATGTTTTTTATTATAATGTTCTCTGAACGGTTTAAAACAAGTACCTAGTAGTAACATTTACAAAACGTTGATGAATGTCCAAATAAGAACGTTTCGGGAAAAGAAAAAAAACATTACTTGAATTGTGTAAATAATGTTTTTGCGCCAATGTTTTAGGAAGGTTATTAAAGACCAGATAACTTTTTTTTTTTTGGATAGGACAGTAGGCCTATTTTAAGACGGGATGCGAGGTGGGATAGAGAAAGGGGGGATGGGATCAGGTAAGGTCCGCGAGCCGGGACTCGAACTCGGGACGTCTGAAGCGCAACGGCGCTTTATGTCGGCATGCTGTGTTTATGTTCTAAGAATATTTTGATAATGTTCCCATTATGAAAACATTTGTGCTGAATGTTCCATGAACATCCAAAATGTCCAGTTTTCTAAAGGTTTTATATGTTTTATAGTGAAAACATTAAAGGGGTCCTATTATGCTCTTTTACAAAGTCTTGATTTTGTTTTGGGGGTGTACTAGTACAGGCTCTCATACTAGGTTGTTCGAAAATGTTTCCTTATTTGGTCATGTTCCTCTCCTCATTTAGTTTGATTAGTCATCCCATGCACCTGTGTTTCCCCAATCATCCCCTGTATTTAAGTCCCAGTCTGTGCAGTATGTCTCTGTCAGGTCTACTTGTTTCTATGTGTGTTTGCCCAGCTCCTATTGTGGATTATCCCATGTTTTCATCATTAAAGACTGTGAATGCTACTCCGTGTCTCCTACGTTCTTCACACAGCAGCGTAACGTGACAGAAGACCTGACCAACACAGTTACCGCCGTGTGTTCCCTCCGTTTTTGATTCCGCCTTTTACCCAGTGTTTTTGTCTCCGTTGTTCCCTCATGGATGCCCTCCTTCACCCGGAATATCTCCTCCTCCTGCTGGAGCAGGGGGAGAGATCACTTGAGGACCATACGAGACTGTTCCAGCTGCTAGCAAGCACCACCAGCTACACGGACGACGCACTCAGTGCGTTCTACGACGGCAGTCTAAACATCGAGTGCAGAGTGCCGTCGTCCGAAGATGGTCCTCGAGCGGATTTCACCGGCTTTGTGGAGTGGATACTGGCGAGAAACGGTACCACTCCCGACCCAGAGCCCAGCCCTCCATCTCCCCGCGATGCGGAGCATCAGCCCGAGCCCACCGTTGACGGAGAGTCATTTCCCGCCGCGATCAGTGAGCCAGCGCAAAGCCGAGCGACTGAGCAGAGGATCTCCACAGACGTAGAGCTGAACCCGTCAGACCAGGTGCGAGACCTGGCGACAATGCCCGTCACGAGGGAGAAAGCCGCGGACGGTGTGAGCGCGGAGAGGAGCTCCGCCCCCTGCACCGCAGCTGAGGGTGAGCTGAGTATGGCGCGGCGAATGTGCCACACCGAAGAAGAGAGGGCTCCAGTACCCGAATCCAGTCCAGAGCGCCCCCAAGTGTCCGCTCCTCCAGAGAGCCATCCTGTTCCCATGTTCAGCCTAGAGGGTGGGCTCCCGATCTAGAGTTTAGCCCTGAATGTCCGGAGGCTCACAAATGCCCGCCCTCCCACCGGCTCCAGCCTCCTCCACCGCTGTCGTCTGGCAGCCCCTCTTCTTGCCCTCAGCCCACCATCAATACGGTGCTAGGTCCGCGGGTCTGCCATCCTCCAGCGTCGCCATGGCTGGAGAATCCTTCACCTCCGCCTCCGGCCTCCGAGGCCCGGACTCCGCCTCGGCCCGTAGACCCAGCGGCTCCATCTCGGCTCCTAGCTCCCTCGCCTCCACCATCACCTGTCGATCCACCAGCTCCACCGGGCTCCATCGTCCCTCCGGCTTCGCCTTGGTCGGGCATCGACCCGCCATCGCCTCAAGACTCCGCTCCTCCGGCTGCACCTCGTTGCTCCATCCCACCAGCTCTATTGGGCTCCTTCCTCCCGCCAGCTCCACCTTGGTCCTCAGTCGCTCCGGCTCCACCGCGGATCTCCGATAGATAGATAGATAGATAGATAGATAGATAGATAGATAGATAGATAGATCTATTTATTATAGATCTGTATTTAAGTCTCTGCCTCCGCCTTGGTCGCCAGAGCCTTCGGCTCCACCCTGGCCCCCTGGATCCTTGGCATCCCCCTGGCTCGTTGGCTCTCCGTCTCCGCCTCGGATTCCTCCCCCACCTGCTCTGCCGCCGTTGGTCAGCCCCCTGGAGTCGGCGGCCATTCCACCTCCATGGCTCCTCCCTCCGTCGGCTTCAACGTGGGTTGACATTATGGCTGTGGCCTGGGTCCAGCTGGGCTCCTCCTGCTGCAAGCCCCTCCTGTCTCCTCCCTGGCTCCTCCCTCCATCGTCACCTCCCTGGTCTCTGTCTGCCGTCCCCCTCCCGGGTGTCTGTCCTCCTCCGGAACCTCCTCCCAAGTTCCCACCCGACCCTCCCCATGTAGTTTCGACTGCGCAAGGAGGGAGGGGGCGTAATGTCAGGATTCTGGACTGTTCTGTGTCGTGTTTTGCTCCTGTTTCTGTTCCTATTTTTCCTTATTTGATCATGTTCCACTCCTCGTTTGGTTTGCTTTGTATTTTCAGGCTTATAAGATCAATTTTGTCTGCTTCCTTTGGAATCAGTTGTTGCACTGTGGTTCTTGTGTGTGCTGTAATCTGCCGTCTATGTACAGTAGAATGTTCCAAATCACTCAAGAGATTCCATTTCAGCATTTGTTTCCATTTTAATTCTGTGGCTAAATTGCCATTCTATTGTCAGCTCAATTGTCATTTGATTTAAGTGATTATGCGTTTCATTGATTACTGCTTTATGTGCTATTATTCAACTCAAGAATTCATTTTTTTCTTCTGACAATCCAGTTTATTTATCTTTAATCCACTGATGCTGAAAAGAAAAAATGATTATATGAGATTAGAAGGTGATTAGAAAACAAGATATCCGTGAACACATGACATCAAATAACTGACAGGGAAGTGATTAAAGATAAAGTGCTTGGTTTTGTGTGAGATGGATGATTGTGTGTGAATGTAATCACTGGGCTGTTCATCATCCTGACACTAAGTTGTGTGGTAACTGTGAAAGACGCACGCAGGAGCTCTGCGTCAGCCAGAAAATGCCAAACATTATATATATACAGTATATATATATATTTTTTTTTTTTTTGTGTTTTGTTTTTTAAATAAAAATATAAAATTTGCCCCTGGGCCACCAAAATTGCCACAGAAGGCTTTGAGTGACATGTTGTTACTAGAGTTACTCTTTTTAAAGTTAACACTTGTAATTAATGGGGTTATTATTTAGTATTTCCATGAATTTCATGTACATTTCAGACATCTTAACGTTTCATTTAAACCTATAGGTTAATTGAGTGAACCCATTCAATTTAAATTCATAGTGTTGCTTTTAATTGGCATATCTTCAATTAAAACATGGTCAATTGAATATATAAATATTCATAGAAGTCATAGAATAAATTTATCTTTAAAATCTGGGATTCTGCTCTGTTTCTCATTTAATTCTTCACCTAAATTGTCAAAATGGCATTTTAAATAGAATAGATGATTTAGTATTTTAAATTAATGACAGTTCATATATATAAATATTAATAAGAATTACATAATTTATATATTCTGTGAAGATTTACCCAGGGGAGTGTCTTGCCCCAGCAGTGGCCTCTTTGAATAATTTTACATTTTGTAAAATAAACAACTAAATTAGCAAATCACTCATATCTAAGTGATTCCACTTATTATTCCGTTTCAACGATTGCATTACTTTTAATTCCATTGTTTACTGATAAAAAAATAATAATATTAATAATAATACAATTTGGCTACCGTGGCATGTTTATTATATGTAATATGTTCTAAGAATGCTTTAATAACTTTCCCATTCAATAAAATAAAAAAAAAAACATCTGAAAATTCAAAACATCCAGTTTTTTTTTTTTCTTGTTTATGCAAACAACATTAAGGCAAAGTTTCATTTTGCAAACATTATGGGAATGTTATACTTTTGAATGTTCTAGAAGTAACATTTATAAAGCATTAGGTGAATGTTGAAATAAAAATGTTTCACAAAAAAAAAAAAATCTTCCTTGAATGATGCATAAATAACATTGTGGCGATAACATTTTGGGATTGGCAGACCAGACGACTCTGAACAAACCTTCTGTTTCTGGAAGATATTTGTTCTTAACTTTAAAGAGGACCTAATATGCAAAAGTCACTTTTATATTGTTTTATACACATAATTATGTGTCTGCAGTGTGTGCACCCTATTGTGGAGAATATCCATCCTCTCTGTTTGTTATTTTCCCCATAAATCACAATGGTTGTCTTAAAATGAGCCAATCAGGAATTTACTCCAATGTGACATCACATAGGACCAGGCCTGCACATGACTGGTAACAATCTCTGCCTTATTATCTTAGCTCCTCCCCTGAGTGTGGCGAGGAGCTAAGATATGAGATATGAGAAAAAACAGAGATATGACTTTCTGTTTTTATTTTGTTGTTTAATTCAAATGACCAGCACAGATAGCAGTAGGTTCTGTATATTATGCTGCTGTCACACAGATCTAATATACACATGCGATTTCTTTCCCAGCTGTTTACGTTCACAGTCATAATTATTTGACATAACTTTGAGTGTATTTGACACTTTAAGTGCACACACACAGAGATGTGTGCTCACAAAACCATATTAAAATGATGAGCGTGAGCGCGATAGACATGATAATCAAGACCAAACAGTTGTTTTGTTTTGTTTTGGTATAGTATCCAAGGCAGAGCTGTAAATGTACAGCCCTCTTCTGGAGAAGTGGGTGGGGAGCAGCAGCTCATTTGCATTTAAAGATACATACACAAAAACGGCATGCTTTTGATTCTGTTAAAAATTGTCATTTTCAGCATGGAATAATAAATGATCTGTGGAGTATTTTAAGATGAAACTTCATAGACACATTCTAGGGACACCTGAGACTTATATTACATCTTGTAAAAAGGAGCATAATAGGTCCCCATAATAGCATAATAGGCCAGAACATAAGCCAAATTTCTGAGAAAATAAAGTGAAAACATTAACTGTATTTTCATTGTTTGCCGGTTTAAAGTTAGCTATGTTGTAAAAGAACGTTTTAATAAATGTTCCCATCAAGTTACTAAAACATTATTTCTAAATGTTCTCTGAACATTCCAAACATTTTTTTAAATGTTTATTTATTTATTTTATGCGAACAACATTGAAAACATTAAGGAAAGATTGCAT